ATTCTGTTCTGCCGGTCCTTCTCAGCAGTACTCGTATACTCACAAGTATATATTGTCATTTATAATATTTTAAGCATTTGAATGTATTAGGAGGTTCCCAGGCCAGGGGTTTGACTGTTTCTACTACTGTTTCAGTTTCAAATATGTAATTAAGCAGCTGTCGAAAGATCTTCTTCCACGTATCACCATTAATTTACGTGTCTCCGTTGTTTATTTCTGTAATTTCAAAATACAACGCAGACACAAAATATTAATTTTTAAATGACAAAAATTCTTTACAGTTACATTTGTACATACCGCACAATAATGCAAAATATATTAATACAAAATAATTTTTCAATGTCGTCAATTAGCAATTTACTTCAAAATATCTGACGTAATTCATTTATTATTATTATTATTATATGTATTTATGTACAATGTATGTATGCGAGGAATATCCCATCCTCGAACGTTAACACTAGACGCGAAATCAAGAAGAAGGGTTTATTAAGCGAAATAATTATAAATTCTATACTAATTGGATATGTAAATCACTTTCGCTTTCAACCTTTCTGAAATGCAATATGAAGGTATACATATGTACATACATTTGTTCTTATGTATTTATGTAGATATATGTACGAATATAACTGCTATAAACCAGAGAAGGTCCACAAACGACTGTGGCAGTTTTGACGCACTAAAGAATAGTTTCGAAACTAAAGCAGATGCGCTAAAAATAAATACAAACATCACAGTTATTGCACTGACACTCATGCACACATATTTACTGCATACTGCGGTAGTAAATATTGTAGATTAAATAGAGTGGCACGAATTCGTCGACTCACTCACCAACTGACCGAGCGCTTGTCTAAATGTCTGCTACATGCCCCGGAGTAATAAATTGATTAGCATATAGTTTTTGTTTTTGTGTGTGTTTTTTTTTTTTACAAAAATTAGCACTTAGACGCGACCAAAACGATACAATAATATTTGTTGTTGTTACTACATTTTAAGTGAGTAGAGAAGTAAACTAAAAATTATGGTAATAAGTGATTTAACTTGGCTAATACATACGTTTATATGCCACGAATGTGAAACTAATGGGTCCTAGGCGTCAGCATACATATATACAGTATTTTATGCAAAAATGAAGCATACAAAGTAGTGTTTCGCTGCAATCGACTGCTGGTAGTTCATAATCGATTTTGCGTTAACATTTTCAAATTCAAATTATTGCTAATATTAATGACCTAGAGCGCCACTAAAAAATACGTATATAAATGTATGCATACATATGCTACAAATACGAGTAAATTAAAAATGAAAACTTAGAAAAACGGTAGTTTTTCTCCACAGTTTCTGTCATATACTTATCATATGCACCAGAAAAATTTCATCTCAGATATTTATTATGATAAAAGAAGTATCCGGAAATTATAAATAAAACGCAAAATATTTAATTATTCATCAATATGCATTTTGTTGCCTTCAAAGTAATTCCACCCAGATGCATGTCAAACTCATAAACCCTTGCCTCATATGCAGTTATAATGCTCTTTATGAATGTGGGATCGGCATTCGCGCGATCAAACATATCCGAAAAGATCTGTTTTCGGTAGTCTTTGTGAAAAAAATTAGGTTTATCGGGACGTGTCCAAAATATCCACCAAAGTCATTCAAACGGCCTCGCAAGAGGAGTTCAGTTCTCTTGGCATCTCTCTAGCACTTGCCTGACGATTTTCAAGCAGTATATTCTGCGCTTTTTTAACATTTCCATTAGTTGAAGAGCTCGATTTCTAACAATCGCAGTGATTCAGGACACCAATTTTGTTTGGAAATACAAAATTTGAGACAAATTCTTTGTACTATATTTTTATCATTGCAAAAATCGCAACACACTATTGAGGTGTATCGACTTAAGCAGCTGCTGAAAACAAACTGGTTGACGCTCATATTTGGTGTAGTAATTAAGAACAGTCTTATCAATTTAGAAAATTCCTTTTTTTTTTTTGTATACATCATATCATTTACATGGGGAATTTAGTAAGAGTTTCTGGCTTCGTTTTTATCTCAATGAACTCTCTACTACAAGGTGAATTCCAAAGTAAACAGGACCTACAAAAAAAAAAAAACAAAAAAAAAAACCTTCTGCTTCAAGACAGCTTTTTGCACGGTCCACAAACATGTCGAGCGAGTGTTTAGCTCGTTGGCCGGTATGGCCGCCAGTATGCCGGTGCAAGCCTTGTGACCTACGGCCTCTACGTCTGCACAACGCTTTCCTTGCATGGGAAAATGCATTTTTGTGAAAAGGAAGAAGTCCGACGGTACCATATCAGGTGAATACGGGGAGTGGTTAATGGTTAAAATGTGATTTTCGGTGAAATAATCGTCCTTCGTATGTTGGTTTCTGAGCAATTTTTGGTCGTCAGTCAATTTGTTTGGAACAAACCGTGCTTACACCGTACGTAGGTACAAGTATTTGGTCGAAATGCGATAAATCGATGCTTTGGAGATGTTCAATTCCATTTCCATGAATTTCAATGATGATTTCGGCTGATTTTTGATGAATTCACGCACAGTTTCTATGCAATTTTTGATGATCACGGATCTTGATTGGAACACATGTTGATCGTCATTTATGTCCTCACGACCAATTTGAAAACGTTGAAACCACTCGCGCACTCTGCTACGGGATAGGCAATCATCACCATAAACTTGTTTCATCAATTGAAATGTTTCGGTAAAATGTCATGAAATTCTCACTTAACAATCGATAATGATAGCAGATTCTAGTGCACCTGTCGAGATATAGATGACGCCACCAGGGGGCGCTAGATTCAAAAAGTCCTGTTAACTGTTAACTTTGGAAAACACCTTGTTAATTGTTCTTACCTTCATCATGTTTTCCTAGTACACAGTTATTTTGCTAATTTTTCGGTTTAAAAACTTGTAATTCATAAGGTTGCTGCTACTGTGAGCTGATGTTTGTGATGATATGTTTGATAGTTCAGTTATTTTTACATTTATACACTAACTGGAAAAGTCGCGAAAAAAATCCATTAATTGGCAATTTCGGGGAGAATTTAATAACGTCCCTCCCACAGGTACTCTCGTCTCTATTTGTAACAAGCAGGGTCAGCTCATTTCCACAAACATCTTTTGAGACGAAGTTTTCTCTAGCAAAATAATGTGCTATTAACAATAAGTGGTAATCACGTTTTGTCAGGTCCGGACTATAAGATGAATACATAAGAATCACCAAACCAACCAAAWGGTATGGCGTTGCCGATTAGACACAATTCCTCTAATATTAGTCATAATTAACAGCTTCTTGGCAATGCCTTACTTAATACTCTTCAATTGTTGATAGTGTAGAACCATATTAAGAGTTTGGATATAGAAGAATAGCTCATAGCATATGGATGATTTCCTACCAATTCCATCCAAAACGTAGTAAACCCGGGAGCCATAACGCTGGCTTTTTTATTGATCTCAACATTTTTGTCTCTGTTTTCTTGAATGTGCCTCTAATTTTCCAAAATAAAATTGACATTATAATTAAATATATATGACTGTTATTTTCTTTTATGTTTTCTGATTTTTATAATCTACTTAAAAATAAATGAGAGCAAATCCTTTTAAATCTTTGGCAGCTTTAATAATATTATCAAATATATTCTCGTTCTATTGGCTTCATAAATTTTGAGAAGTTGTCGTTTGTTTATTGATTATTGAAGTCGCGATGAAAACAAAGACTAGGGAAGCTTCTCATGTTCACTCTTTATTTAATATAAAAAGGAAAGATACGGTTGCACTAACACACTTGAAGAAATTCACGTGTATGTCGATGGTTTGACGTCCAAATATGTTTACGAGCAAAGTCTTTCACTGGTAATCCCCCGGGAAAAGTCCTATAATTTATATGCTCGCTACTATTGTGTGATACAGAAAACTTGAATTTAGCAAAGAGGAGCACATTAACCAAAGATGGCGGCTCAGGTCGAGCTGAATGAAAATAATACAATAGAATAGGAACAAATAAGAAATGTCAATTAAATAATGGTCTATTTGAGGTATGTTTCATGATCTCTTCCAATATTTATGTTTTGTTTTTAAGAAAATTAACACGAGAATAATTTTTTAAAATTATAAATTAAATAGAATTTATTCCATAACCTCAAATTATGGAATTATTTCAACAATTAAGCGGCTATCAGATACATATTTTGACTGAACGTTGTAGATGTAAATGCGGGTGTGTGTGTGTCCACTTGAGGTGTTTAGCATTTGAGGCATTATGTAAGCTGTCATCGAACGTGGCTAAGTACATTTAATGCTTCCAAGCCTAAAGCTTTGATTTGATTATACTTTATTCCAGTCACGTTGTGATTATGGAAATAAATTGCCGACTTTTTGACAAAAGATTTGCAAGTTTATAGTGGTTTTATTGTTCCACCGCTAACGGTTAAAGAAAGCAAATAAAGGCGATGTCGGGCAATAAAAGAAATAAAACAAAATGAACTGAAAAAGTAAAATCAAGTCCAAAATTGTGCGCGCTTTGTTGTAAAAACGCACAAATGGCGAATACTGAAGACAAATAAGTTTATATGAAATACAAAAATATGCTACACACATAGACAAAGCGATATGAGCGTGTGTTTGAACCAATATTTATGCTTGGTATGTTTTGAGTTTGTTTTGGGTGAATAAACTTTGAACGCATCGCTCGCCTACACCCAACCGCCAGTGTTGTAGTCCATCAATTCGTGAATTAAATAAGTTACGCGCATTTAGTTTAAATATTTAAATTATTATTTCTTTACAGAAATTTCGTAATCGCGCACTTTATTATACATTTTTACACATAACATATGGAAATAGACAAATTATATATAATTGCCTTTAACATTGCTTTTAGAAGTCAGTCCAAAATATATTTTTCTTCTACTTATTTAGCGCATTGCATCGCAAAGATCACAGTTCTCTTCTTTTCAACTAGTTTTAGCTCGTTTCCGCTCGCACGTGTAATCAGCTTGCTAGCTTGTTTAGTTTAATGTTTTTTCGCCGCCGCTTCTGGGTTATAGGGATGCTCTTCCAAGTACTTCAAGGTCTTCAGCACCGATTCGGGCACAGGTGGTGGTGTTGGAAGGTGTGCGCCCACCGGTTGGTAGCCGTTCTCATCAGCTATGTACGACACCAAGTACTCCTTGCCGTCATCGGCGACAAAAGCAAATTTACCCTCGATCGACTCGCCATCATGCTCTGCGTCCACCTTCTTCAAAACGCCGTCTTGTGAGGCTTTCGAACCATCGCCGAGCTCGTAACTGTGGGAAACAGAGTAGAAAAATGAAAAACGAAAGATGAATTAAAATTTCTAAGCATTTATTAATAGAGCTGACAACAAAAAAAAAGCATTCATGTTGTTCTTGTTAACAGTACCCGAAACAAGTGGATATCTGAAGCGTTTGTGCGCATTTCAATTTGTCCACACTCTGAGGTGGAGAGATAAAAATTTCGCGATGTTCGTTCGTACGTGGAATGTGATCTAATTTTGTATGGAGCTTGTGCTTGATTTGATGGGAAGATATGTATTTAAGTAGTTTATGGGAGAAATGCTGCGTTGAGCTGCAGGTGTAAATAATTTAAATGTATTTTTTAATAGAAATTTGGTGGATATTTTATAGTTCAGTGTCCAGTTAATATATTCTAAGAATGAATTAAATTTTTGAAACCATTGTTCGAAGATAATTCCTTATCTGCGTCAGCACCAAATAAGAGCGCTACGTGACTCGAAATTGGCGTCTATAATCTAATAAAAAAGTGTAACTATTTATTACTTGAAAAGCAAGAAATGGGTGCTATAAATTAGAATATTATGGAAGATAAAGTGGAACATACTATTTATGGTGTTTGAACCACTACGTGACTATGGACACAAAGCAAAAGCAATGAAATAAAGCAGATTCTTAAAGGTCTCAAATTCAAAAAGCTAATGAATGTGCTCAAAACCTCCTCAGTATATCTCATTAAAACGTGAACAACAATAACTTCTTTCATTCATATAAATCCAGCATTGAACCAAAAAAAGTTTTTCTGTATTTTTTTGTTCTTTTTCAATACTTTAATATGAAGAAAACCTCAACTGAAAATCACCGTATTTTGATGGAAGTTTATGGAAAAAATGTTATAACTGAGCGAAGTCAGCAGTGATTTGTACGTTTTAAAAGCGGTGAATTTGGCCTTGAAAATGAAAAGCGCTCTGGGCGGCTAAAGAAATTGGAAAATGAGAAACTGGCATCATTAATTGATGAATATTGTTGCCAAACAAAACAAGAGCCTGTGCAAATCACTCAAGCAGCCATTTCAAAACGTTTAAGACCAGCTGGACACATTAAAAAACGAGAAATTTGGGAATTAAGAAAATTTGAACGACACGTTCACATGTCAGAAATATTGCTTGAACGCTTGAATGAAAGGAAGCGGTTGCGTGTCGGATTGTGACTGTTGAAGAAAAATAATTCACTACGGCAAAGCTACGGTAAAAAAATCAAAGTTTAAACTTTGTCAACCAGCCAAATCAACCGCAAAGCTAGATATTCATCGTCAAGACATTGAGGTCAGATCGGATACTAATATGAAAAGTAAAGGGAACGACTTTCCATCATAACAACGCTCAGCCTTGGGTTTTGTGACCGTTTCAAAAATATTTGGTCTAATAACTCAGACCTCACCCCTTCTGACTATCCCTTGTTACAGTCAATGCAGAACGCCTTCACTTAAATATAATTTACATCAGAAGAGGGTATAAAATGTTGGCTTCATTCATTCTTGTCATCCAAGCTGTTGTAGTTTTTTTGAAATGGAACCCACAAATTGACATAAAGAAGAATAATATCTTAGCTTCAGACTTCAGAAAAATGAGTTTGAATTATAACTCTGTCATTGTTAATAGACAAGTATTGTCTATTTTGTTTAAGTATCAATTATTATTATTATTAAGTTTGGTGTTTTTAAACTCAATAACAATATTTGTATTTTGATTTAAGACTACCATTTTTCAATTGAGTCATAATCAGCAACATTATTAAAATTGAAAAGTATTTATGTTGGAATAAATTAGAAAGAAGTTCAACTAGTTTTTCTAGCTTCATTTTATTAGTTTAGTTTTTAATAACAATAAAACTCAAAAACTCACATTTGACTCAATATCTTATTAGAATAATGGCTTGATTGTAGAAATATGAATAATTAATGCTTTCAAAATCTTTATTTAATTAATTTTTCTACAGCATAAATTCTTATATAATCCTGCTCATTTTAAAGCAAAAGTAAGTATTGAAATCTCAAGCTACACTAAAACGGTCTCACATTAATCAATACAATAGTTCTTCAATGCTTTCAATTTCTTCCATATGTCAATTCAATGCAACACTGTTTGATTGATTTATGATTCCGCTTTACAACATACACAACATATTCACCACGCTCATTATTCAACTTTCACATTGCTACTTAAGGCTTACTGGTAGTGGAATTTTCCATCATATTCCACCATGGCTTCATTGGAGATCAATTGCACTTCTTCCTTTGCCAGCGTCGAGGCAAAGCACAAACAGACGACCAATAATAATTTCATTTCGAATCTTTATGTTTGACTAGAAATTCACACAAACGATAAGAAGAACAGCTGATACTGTTTTTAATTGAATTTAATTCGACAAATACTATCAACAAACAGATACCAACTACCAGCACAAAATTATTGAAATTGAGATTGAGCAGAGAAGTTCACCTAAAAACGCGACACGCTAAATGACAAGCTCCATGCACTAATGACAGACTTTTATACGTGCGTCAATGCCATCATCCGGCAACAGCAGCCGCCGTCGCCGCCGCACAGATCACTTCGAGATTCTTGATGACAAAATAGCAAAAACAACTCGATGCTTAAAAAGCCAAAACAAAGATAATCTTAAAATTAAGCGACTATTCAATGTCGACGAAAATAAAAACAATGTTTTTAGTGGTATTAAATAAAGTCGTATATTTATAATAAATAATATTGAACTTGTTTTTGACTGCAAGCATTTCATGATTACACATATGCTAATGTCGGTATGTGAATGTGAACCGCGCAGCATACCCTGCAGGAAGTTTTGATAATAAATCATTCTCATTTTGTGAAAACATTTGCCTTTAGATATGAGGGTTAGCTGTAAATAATCAACTGAATTTGTATCCTTCGTACTCATGAGCCGACCAGCGACAAAGCGTTTTGGCACCATTCAACACCCACAAGAGTCGGTTGGCATCGTCTTAGACTTCGAGGAAGCATACTACTGCTTTGTGTTTAGTTACCAAAGGACCTCCTCTAAAAGCAGTTAATTTTAACATGGATGAAAAAAGCAAGATTGTAAAGCCTTAAAAGGGGTAGGTAGTTGTGTATGAGGAAATATCTCTGTCCCGTTAGCATGCTTAACAGTTGTGGTGGTGTAATGCTAACACGAGTTCTCTAGCAGAAACTGGTTGATATTCTATGCTCTAGTATGTAGAAGATACAGGGATAATATTTTTGCCATTATTAAGGGGGTATTCTAGTATAGAATTTTGAAAAACTCGATGTTTTTTTTGCATATTATTAAAGACTGGACCTTTAAGAATATATTCCCAAAGGAATTTTGAAAATTCCTATTATTTACCGACTTATAGCTATTTTAGTGACGCAGCGTGCAAACTGGCTCTAACGGCCGTTAGCGAAATGTAAGTATAGACTGCCTGCAGTTAGACTCAAATCTTTAATCACGTTTTTCTCGAAAGTACTACTGACATGATTTCTCATGTTCTAATGAACCGATTAACTTGAAATTTGGTGTGGACCTTCTTTATATATCTCTCTATGGTTGGAACTAGTACTTTAAAAAATTTAGATTTTTACCAATTTTAAAAAATTTTGATCTTTGCCAAAAAACGGGCAAAAAATTAAAACAGTCACCATTTACTGAATTTTTTTTTTTTTTTTTGTATTCTTAAAATATCAATAAAGAATCTTTATCTGATAAAAAATTGGATAGTAAAAATGTTCTTAGTTTTTTTTTATTGGACTTTAAAAAATGCCGTTAAATAGCATTTTTAAACTAGAATAACCCCTAAGTAGAAATATCCGCTTTGGAGACAACTGGATGAAGGAAAAGGTTATACTAATGCGATCAAATTGAAAGGTGAATTTTGTCTTTCAAAGAATTCTTCTCCCGCTGCAATATATTTATTCCAATGAATTTTCCAGTCATTACAGCACATAACCGTCGTGTGCAGAGCCTTAATCGATTCAGCTTTCATATCCTCAATTGAGTCAAAACAGTGTCCTCGGAGTGGTCAAGAGAATTTGCTAAATAGCCAAAAGTTACATGAAGGTAAATCAGGCGAATGTCGTAGTTACGAAATGATCACGAATATCCAATGCAGTATGAGATGGTGCATTATTCAAAGAAGTGCGATTGAATAAATTCACTAACAGTACTACCAACTTACTCAAGAAAAAAAATTACCGATCCGAAAAACACGCGAAGTATAAAATTCACCTTTCAATTTGACAGTTTCATTCAGATTCAATTTGACAATTTCCGACCAGAAAACCGTGTTTAGATTCCGATTTGAATTATTCTTTATGCGAAATAGAAGTACAAGTGAACACGCTGTTAAAACTGTTGGTTCTTCAAACACAGGAGGCACCTTCTTTTTAAGAGAGAATGTGTGTGTATATATTTAAATGACATATTTTAGCTTACCACAATATCGCGGCAGTCGTTTCTTCTTTTCGCAATTAGACGCCAATTCGAGATTATAAGTACAGCCAGGTCCATCCTCACCTGATCTCTCCAAAGGAGTTAGGTCTCCATATTCATCTGCTTCCCCCGGCGGGGAACTGCTTCAAAGACTTTCAGAGCTGGAAAGTTTTCATCCGTTCGGACATGACCCAACCAGCGTAGTTGCTATTCTATTCGGAACTATGTCAATGATCATCGTTCCATTGATTGTGGTATTCGCCGTTGCCAATGCGAAAAATATCATAAATCTTCCTAAGAACCTTTCTCTCGAAAACTCGTAATGTCGGTTCATCAGATGTTGTCATCGGCCATACCTTTGCAATGAGTGACTCATAGATTTTAGACTTTGTTCTTCGAGAGAGGACTTTACTTCTCAGTTGGCTACTCAGTCTGAAGTAGTACCTGTTGGCCAGAGTTATTTTGCGTTGGATTTCGAGACGACAGGATATATTTAATCTTATTCTCATTCACTACCAGACCCATTACCCTCGATTTCTTATCCAGTCTGGAGAATTTAGAACTAACGAACTAACAGTTATTGGGGCCAATTATATCAATATTATCGGCGTATGGCAGCAGCGGTGCACTCTTATAGATTTCTTATAGATTGTGCCTGCTCAATTAAGCTCTACAGCACCCATAATTTTGAATTGAAGAAGTCGCACGATAGGGGGTCGCCTCGTCTGAAGCCTTGTTTAGTATCGAACGACTCGGAGAGGTCCTTCCCGATCCTGACGGAGTTTTTGGTGTTGCTCAGACGAAGAGGTGGTGAGTGTCGATGAGTGTCGTGAATAATTGACCAGTTGTTAATTTTTCCACGCCAAAGCCAGATTGATAAGGTCGAATCAGTGTGTTGACGGTTGGTTTTAATCTTTCACATACATAGTAAGTTCGATCGAATCTTATATGCGATGTTGAGGAGACCTATCCCATCATAGTTGTGGGGTCCTTTTTGTGGATTGTGGAGCTCGCTTAAATTCAAATTGAATATTCTACAAAGAAGCTGCTCCTTATCAGTTCTTCTCCGCCGTATTTATATATGTAAGTATATTATATATTTATAGTAGAATAGCTTTTTGAAACCTTCAAGGGTCATTGGAGGGTAGCCAAACGAACATTCAACTATCATAAATCAAATAGACTGGAGTCTATTATCTCTCTCTCTCTCTCTCCCTCTCTCTCTCTCTTATTAAAGAAGCTTTTGACAAGAGAGCAGAACTCAAATTTGACTTCATATTTTCTACAGGGTAGCTATAAATTAATTTAAATTAGCATAAATGGAATTTAATATTATCAGAATGCGAATGTATTTTTGGGTGAAATTTGAATTTCAGCAATGCATCAAAATAAAAGGTTTCAGTATAGGCGCCAGCAACAAATTACAGCAACACCTCTGCTAATCAGTATTCTCGAAAATCATTAGCAGAAAGATTTATGTGTGCGCTGTGTGTGTGTGCTCAACAACATTTGTATAAAACAAAACAAGTTAAAGCTTCGAAATCATTTTGGCTTTGTTGTTATTTATATTCTTATATTATATAATCTATATATTTGGATTGTAAATCATAAAATCATAGACCATAACTAAAAGCGGTTATATTGTAACTGATTTTGTCACTTCATTTGTTGTTTATTTTTCAGTGAAACAAATTTTGGCAATTTGCATATAAACTAGATTCATATCTGTATATAATATTTACATATTTCTTTACGAATATTAGCCAGTTGTTTGGTCAGTTGTTGTTGTAGTTGGCGGATTTCAAATAACGACCAGCTGATAATCGTAATATTAGAATAATTAGGAGACAAACAATTAACTTTACGGTACATTTACGGTAAATCGCTTTATTTAACTAACGGCTTTATAAGGTGATGTACAATTTATAATAAATTGAAAAGTAAACTTTTGATTTAATTGAAAGTGATTGCGTCTTAAGTGCGCATATAATTTGATTCTTGGCGAAACTTGTTGGACATATTTTGGGCAGCATGTGTTTAGAACTCCTTTATTAGAATACCGAAGGTTTCGTTTTATTTATATGAAATTTGCAGGTAAGATATAAACTGGAATATATATCAAACTGCTTTTCCTTCCATGGCAACCGTGGGAAGTCCGTCTACTTTGATTAAATTTAATTTAGGTGCTATTATTTTAGTATTAGAGTTTAATGGTTAAACAACGGTACGTACAACTTGTTGAAATATATCATCAACATTGTTTTGTGATTTATAAAACACTCGATTTGGAAAATTGTCTTTTGTCTTGTGTTTATTTTCAACACCATAAAATACTAGTGGAATTTGATAGTTGCAAATATTAATCAATATATACTGCGTCTACTAACAAGATCGACGTGAGGTTAAAATGAAATTTATAAACACACTCCAATTCGGTCAAAGTAATTTCTTTTCTGTTATGTAGATAATTTTACGTCATTTACGATTTGAAAAAAATGTCGGTCTAAAGACCACTGCTCTGGGCAAATCTTTGGTGCCGCATTTCGGCTCTACTGCACTTAATGTTATCTGCGAGTTACCAAAATTTGCAAGCAATGTGTCTATAAGGCGGCGTACCGTCTTGATGGAAATAGAGATTGACTGGAAATCGGTCAACATCGTGTTGCAACGCTAGAAATTGGTGGTAACAGAGTTTCTTGCCTTATTTCGAAATAAATAAGATCTCATCCACAGTTTTTGTGTATGCAATTTCGTTTCCCACGACTTAAGTGGTTTTGTTTAAATGGTGCCCCTCTAAATGGTGCTGGTCAAAATTATAAGTCCCAAAAGCAATAAAAATTTATACTAAAACAGAAAAGAATTCTCCAATATGAAATTTTTGTTGTTAACTTAAAGAAAATTTTTTATATGTGTATGTTTGTTAATAAAAGTTTATCGGAAGGTATGTATGATAAAATGAGAATAAGGTATGTTGATACTACACACCCTGGAGCCTGTCATGCCTCATTAATTTGGATTACGAGTCAATTAAGAACTTCAATGGAGCAGGAGT